TTTCTGAGTATCAATGATGATGATGAGGTTAAACAAGCTGAAGTGAGTAAAGATGACAAGTTGATTGAAGTCTTCTATGCTTTGAAGGCACTTGCTAAGGAGACACATCTACAAACTAAATCTGAATCCAAGAAGGTTGTTGAAGAGCCTCTAGCTGAATAAGACGAAGCCACTTTGAAGGATTTGTTCAAGTACAAACCTCCACTTCCTTTTTCTGGAGGGATTCTCACCAAAGCTCAAAAGGCTACTCTCTCTAAGTTTAGGAAACAAATGCATGAAGCTGGCATTCCCTTACCTCCTCTTGATACCATGATGCAAGTCAAGGACGCTTCATCAGAACTGTTCTTAGCAATGCAGAGAAATTAGAGTAGGTTGTGAATGCCCTTGATGGTCCTAGCAAGCAAAAGGATGAGCCAAAGGTCCCCCAAAAGCTAAAGAATCCAGAAAAGTTTGTGGTTTCTTGTAAGCTTGGAAATCTTGACAAGATGGAAGAATTATGTGATTCAGGGTCTAGTGTCAATGTAATGTTATTGGAGATAACAAGGAAGCTAGGAATCACTGAGTTGAAGGACTATGAGTCCACTATCTCTTTTGTGGATTCATCAACAAGGCAGCCACTTGGGTTCTTTGAAGACTATCCCTAGAAGATTGGGAGTTGCAAAATTCCAACAGACTTCATAATGATGGATATGGGAAAGTCTAAGGATCTTCCTTTGCTGCTTGGGACGCCATTTCTGAACACAGCTGGTGCTGACATTGACTTCCACAAGAAGAGGGTGGTGCTCAAGAAGGTGAATGAAGATGTGAGTTATGAGATCAAGCCTCCTTACTCAAATTTTTGTGGAACCATTGGAAGTGAGGAGCTAAGTGTGGAGGTGCTTCCTGAGAAGGTTGAGCATGCCATGAGCTTCAATGTCAGTGTCCAAGAAGAGGCTAACCCAATGGATCACAATGAGTACCAAGGAGAAAGCTTTGATGGTGTTAGCCTCTTTGTGATGTTTGAAGGACTAAGTGTGGGAGTTGATGAAGAACCAATGAGCCACAAGAAGCTCAGACCCAAGATGAGGAAGGCTCAGACCGGAGCCAATCACAAGTTTGTTGAGAGAGGAGAACGGGATGTGGTTCCCTTTCATGCTCCTCATTGATCTCAATAACAAGCAAAGTCAAGCTTAGTGACTTTAAACAAGTACACTTGGGAGGTAGTCTCAAGTCTATCATTGTATATATTAGTTCCTTTTACTATTGATATGTTTTATTTAAGTGTTTCAGGTCATTTAGATGTCAAAAGGTGCAACAAGATGGTTCAAACCGGCCAAAGGAGGATCCTTTGTTTCTGTACCAAGCACTCATACCGACGAGACCAACCCCTGTTCTACTCGGTACAGAACATACCGAGGAAAAGCTGGCCGTACACTGATGGGTTTGTCCGAAGGTGATTCGCACCGACAAGGGCCATGATGTACACCGATGAGTTTGCACGGTGTACCCGTACCAACGAAGGAGCATCCGTACACCGAAAGTTTCTCCCGGAGGCGATCATATCGAGCAAGGCATACCGAGGAGAGCAACTTATTCTCCACGGTATAACCTCCGGCGAACCCGCGTTCCAGTGTACAGTATTTTAGCTCAGGCGGCGAGGCAGTTGCACCGAGCATCTACACCGAAGTGGGCTGCAAGTTACCTGCTCGGTGCAACACAAAGGGCTATGTGCATGGGATATCCAAGGAGCATGCACCGAATGAGCTTCGGATGGCTAAGTGTGGGATACATACCGTGCAAGTATACTGAGCAGGGTATCCCACGGCCTGCTGGGTACGGCACGAGATGCACAGAGTATCGAGAGAACATCTGAGTGCTTCACGGGCTAAAGGACATCCGGCTGCTGTACGTACCGTGGAGATGCACCAACAAGGGCATCCTGATAGCCTGATCGGTGCATCCAACCTCCGAGAAGGGATCCAGCCGGTACATGCACATGCTCGTCCCAGGAGTCGATATGCGCATCACGGTATGCACCGAGGTAATACACCGATGATTCTCCTTGGTATGACTCAAAAAAAATTAAGAACCAAATCGAGGTGGGTCCCAGGTATAAGTCTCAGTGCAGGTAATGTTCCCTCATCTCTTCACTCCAAAATTTTCAAATTTAAAAAAAGATTCCCCTAGATTTTTATTTTTATTATTTCTTTATCCTATATATTCTCCTCCTTGGCATTTGCATTAGAACCCATTAAATTTGCTATCTCTCTCTCCACCTAGAAATTTCAAAAATATTCTAAGCATCTAGTTTCTCTTTCTTCAAGCATTTTCCTTATTCAATTTGAAGCATTCATCATCTTAGCAAGGTATTTTCAATAGTCTAGTTTAATATTATTGAAATAGACTTATGTTTTTACGCATAGTCTGCTTTAATTTATGTTTTATCTGGTATCTTTGTGCATCTAGGATTGTTTTTAGAATTGTTGCTTAGTGTTTTAAATTTTAGAAGTGGAAAGATGAGATTTTTCATGTTCCAATGCATTTTCCCTAAATCTCTTGCTTTAAATTTTTTATTGTTGTCATTGGCTTTGGGAATCTTTTTTCTTGGGCTATAAAAAATATTTTAATTAAACTTAGTTTCTCATTGTTCATCATGGAATTCCTCGAATCTTTCGAAATTTCTTGAGCATATAATAAATTATTGTTTGAATGTGTGTTAAATTTGCAAAAATGCTTACCCTTCTTTAAGTGTTTGCATTTTTCAGGTACCATGTCTCAAGAAGATAACAATGCTTTGGCACTCACTCATGAGTCTCAAGGAGGAGACAAGGCATAAGGAAAGAGATTGGCTGTTGAGAAAGAAGAAGAAGTTGCCTATGTTGGTCCTTCAAGCTCCAAAGAAATACTCAAGACCATCCAAAAGGTGGAATTTGTATCCACTCACTTTGTATCTCTTCCATTGCTTAGTGATATGGGTATAGAGGAGGAGGTTCAACTAATCTTCAAGAATCTTGGGATGCAGAAATTCCTTTGCTCAGCCTATCCCACACATAAGGTGCAAGCTTCGCAATTCCTCTCAACTCTCAAAGTCCACTACTTTGATGACTTTGAAGCGGACAGTGAGGAAGAAGAAGGTTATGGAGATGGATTCATCAGGTTCAGAGTGGGCAAGAACAAGTACAAGATGGGCTTCAACCAGCTCAGTGAAGTGTTTGGGTCCAATGAAGGCACAACAAGGGAAATGGCGATGGCCTTTTGTAGAGATGAGCCCAAAATTGTGTGGGAGGATATCGCCAATCAAGACAACATAAAAGGGCACCTCAAGAGCTCTATCATCAGGTATCCAGCTGTTAGATATGCCCACTAGGTGCTAGATAACATCTTCTTCTACAGAAAAGAGCACAATATGGTTAAGGAGGAAGAGTTAAGGTTATTGATCAATGGGTTGAAGTATATTCTCATGGAGACTATAGGAGGGCCAATAATGGGAGATCAAAATGGTGTGGGGCTCATTACACTCTTGATGAAGCAGTTTGTGCAACACCAGCAATAGCCATCAACACTTCTGAAAAGAAACCCAAGCTTGCCATTAGAGGACTCATAACCCCCATTTTGCTTGCAGTTGGCGTGAACCTCAAGGAACCCTCACATCCCATTGCATATCTTGATGTTGCTTATCTTAGCAAGGCTGACTTCCTAGTTGTAGGATTAAGGGATGGATATACATATCAGTTTGCGCTTGAAGACAAGAAGCAAATAGTCCTCCTTCCTAAGCGCCACCTTACAAACTTTAGCAAGCAAGAGAATGTGTGGTTTCAAGTGGATGGGCCTGACTTGTACAACCCTATTGCTCATGAGCCTCTCCTCAGGAAAGAAGGATGAAGGGTATTGCTATAGCACCACCTCAAGACCAAGAGGACATTGTAGATGATGAGCTTCAAGCGCATGAGAGAGACGCTTTGGAGAATGAGAGTGCAATGGATCACTTTGAACCATTCTCAAGACCTTGTCCTTCTAAAGCTACTAGAGTTGTGCATCAGCACATCAAGCTCTTGCAAGGATGGAACAAGCTTCAAGAGAAAACCATCAAACCCCTGGCCAAATCGGTTAAAAGCTTGAAGGGGAAGGTCAAGAAGCTTAAGAAGAAAATTTATGGTGACTCATGTTCTCCAAAGAGCAAAGGCGGTTCTAAGAAGGGGAAAGAAGTGGGACAGCAAGGCAAGAAGCAAGGAGAAACTTCAGAGAGGCGCCACTCCTTCCATGGGACAAGTGCACCAGCAACCTCCTTGGAGCCTTCTAGGCATTTTTCCCATGAAGCTGGCCGTAAGAGAGGAAAAGAGAGGAATTCATCACACTCACCAAGACAGAGCCCCTCCCAAAGAAGTGAGAACTCATCGTCTCACTCTTCTTTAACCTAAGGTACACTCACTCTATAACCATTGTATATACCATTGCATTTTTCCTTTTAATCTATTATATAAAGACTCAATTGAGTCTCACAAGAGAATGACACATCAGCACCCCTTTCCATAACACGTCAGTATAAAAAAAATTAAAATAAAATAAGTCTCTCATGAAATTACTCAGTCAAAAAAAAAATTTCTCACGAAGCGTCTCCTCGGAAACTTAAACACTTTTGTCTTTCCAATGAAAAATTCTTTAATTGAACTTGTACATAAATAATCGAAATCGATCCAAAATCAAGAGAGACGAAGGAGAAGATGACAAGCAGAGAAAAATTGATCAGAGAGCAAACTGCAAATCCGTTGCGCTGGAGCTACAATAATACTCTATTCACTCGCATCATCTCTCCAGGCCACCATCAACCGGCGGCGTAGTCTACATCTCTCAGATGTTCTGAAATCCCAATTATATATAAACGAATCTATAGGGTACACCAAATTCTCATTACCATTACTTTGTTTTGTTCGTCAAATCTATTTGAAAATTCTCCAAGAATCTTATTCTATTCAAACGACCGTCTTTTCTATATTCTCTTGCACCGATTTAGTTGAGCGACCATGGCCTTAACGGATTCTAATCAGCCAAAATTGGATATGGTAATTACGCTGTAATCTGAATCTCTTTTGACATTAATAGATTGTGGGAGATATGTCTCTCTATATCTGAATTGTTATTGATTTTGGTCTCAATTCTTTGATTTTGAGTTTCTGTGATTTGAGTTTTGTTGGCTTTTCAGAATTCTTCAAATCGTATTATTTGGGTATTAGTCGTGGTGGATCTTACAAGATGCAAATCGAATAGAAAACGAGTGAAGAATTTGTAATTCAAGTCGTTATCATAGAATTGTTGTTTGGAAATTTCATATTGAAGAGTGATTGTTGTATATACCATAATTTATCTTGTGCAAAAGATCATGATTAATGAATTAAAAGTGATTTTTGTTGTTGTTGTTGGCTTATTACATATTCCTCTATTTTGAATTCCTTTTTCAGACTAAGGAAGAGAAAGAGAGATTGAAGTACTTGGAATTTGTGCAAGCTGCTGCTGTGGAAGCACTTTGCTCTCATTTACGCAAAGGCAAATGACAAATCTGGTCCTTTGAAACCAGGTGCTGATAGTTATCAAGACTGTGGTCGGTCCTGTGTACCAGAAATACCACGACATCCCGTCGAGGTCCTTAAATACACAAGAAGGTGATTTTGGCATTCCTCTTTATTTTTATTTTGTTTAAAAATAGCTTGTATTATATTCTTGATGCTGGAAATGTTTTTGTTAAAATGAATTAGAGCTAGGTTCCAATCTGCTTAATAAAACATTTTCATGGAAAACGCTATCTACTATAGTTATGTCGATAATATATATACACTTATGTGATTCGAATCTTGCATTTATAGATGAAAGCTAACGCTTGTGATGATTTTAAACTATACATTGTGTGTTTTTTTGGGTTTTTTTCTGTGAATAAAAGCATTTTTTCTGTAAATGTCATTATGTTCTGTATAATTAATCACCTCCTTGAAAGCTGGCAATATCTATTGAACCATCTTGGTTATCGCAGGTTGACATATATGTGATTGAGCTTGACCGCCGTTTCCCACCAATAGTCAAACAAGTGTCTGCCGAAGCCATCTCAGCTGCTCAGATAACACCCATTGTGGCTTGTGCTTTTGCCTCTAAGGTTTCGAGGTGCTGGCATTCGGAAACAGCCTCCGGGATAGCTAAGTCCGTCTACTTAATATGAGCCTGCCGCTACAGAGTTGTATGCAAGCTATGAGAGAAAAAGCAGAGCAATTAATGTGTTGTTTCAGCCTGGAAGAAGCTGAACTAGCTGGCTTAACATCTGCTTTCTGCTCTGAGAATACGGTGGTGAAGGCTACAGAGAAGGCGTACACTGTACAGGGTTTCATCGTACTTGTCATTGCTTCCTACAGATAGGATCTCAAAGTTTTTCGCCGAGGAGAAGGTTGAGACCCAGGCTTTGGAGTTTCAACCACTTGATTGATCTTGGTGTTTTGGTTGTGTTTGGCTGTTTTCGAGGTGAACCAAATAGTGGTTAATTAGCGAGTGGTCCTTGGTTCTGATTCTTTTGTTTCTTCATTTTTGATACTTCGTTATTTCTTCCAATTTTCGTTTAATAAAATGCCAAAAACTGATATATATTATATGGTGGAAATTTGTTATATAAAAACTTTTTTTATTTGTTAACCTATGATGGAACATCTAAAACCTAAAGTGATGTAACACCAGAGTAATATATTAACTGATGTTAGGTTAGATTGATATCGAGAACTGAAATATGAAATTTATATGGATACGGTTTGGTCGACTTATTAATCCATTAAAAAGGTCAATGTTTGAAATCAAAGAAGATGGAAAATGAATCAAGTGCTGCACTTTACATATATATATAAAAAGAACCAAATGCATACCAAAATAAGTTCTTATACGGTTAACAAAACGCCCACAATATAGATTTGTTGTTAGGTTGTTTTCCCAATTTTATAAATATATAAAATAATTATATTATAAAATTACTTCAGATCAGATAACATGATGAATATATTGAACTAGAAAACTTTATTTCAATATACAAGTGTAGTTGCTGTCAAGAAAAGAAAAAAAAACAAGTGTAAAATGTGAAACATTATAACAAAAATAAAATCCGGTATGTATCAGAATTATTATAAAAAACACTATAACAAATAGATGAATTTTTATTTGTAGTGCATGATGGTTATATGAAAAATGTACAATTCACAAATGATTCAATGCGAACATATATGTATACTTTGCAACACATCCAACCAAACTTATGAAATTCTTTAAGTTTATAAGATATTTTTTTTAATAAAATAGTGTTCATTTTTATTTTTTTGGAGTGTCAATTTATTAGTATTTTATCTTATAAGCTAAAGATCGCACATTTATGTGTATACTCTTTATTATTTTGGATTTTAATTTAAATTATAATTAAATTATAATTATATTTAAAATAAAATATTATTTTCCAAAATAATTATAAATTCTTCATACAAAATGCTCAGCGCTCATATGAGCAATGCAATCAGCTTGGTCTTTTGGATATAGACGGATTGAATTCGAAGGCGATAACCTATTCTTATCACAACTTCTCAACGGCTCCTCCCAAAAACTTACGTTTACAGCATTATATTACAACTATTAAAAGTTGGGCTGATATGTTTTATAGCGTGAAATTAAGTCATAGGATTAGAGAAATAAATCAGTGTGCTGATATGTTAGCTAAGAAAGCTATTTTATCTTTGTCCCTTTGGCGTTTGTTTCATGTTTGCCCAAGGTTTCTTCAACTGTATGTAAACAATGATTGTACTACCGAAAATTAATAAAATTTTAGACGAAAAAAAAAATTCTCCATACAAAATGATTTTTTTTTTTGTCAACAGCCTCATACTCTTACAACAATCCAGAAAACCAGATTGGTGGTGTTGAGTTTACATAATTTAGATGATAAATGTAGTCTCGAGCACTATGTACTAACTTGTCCGCCTTTGTGTTCTGCGCGCGGGGGATCTTTGAGATTAAGAAGAAAGCAAACTCTCTTTTGCTCTTTTCATATTCCTCCAAATGTAGAGAGAATGCCGGCCACTCTGCTGGATTGGACACCATCTGCACCAGTTCAGAACTGTCTGTGACAAAAACAACCGACATCCGTCTTGCATCTGGCATACAATGTATTGCCCATATTAATGCTTCTAGCTCCGTATGTAGAGGTGATATACTGCGTCGTACATTACGCGTACCCAAAAACGTTAACAAAATGGTTAAAAACAAACAATTGTAAAGTAATACAAATGTACGTTAAAATTATAAATTTGAGAATTAGTAATGTTCCACACAAATATAAACTCCAAAATATTGGGTGTCTCATGAAGCTACAGATTTCCAAACCTTTGTAAAATCAAGTTGTATCATTATTTTTTTAATAACTACATATTTATGTTATTTTATTTTAAAAAAAATCTAAAAAATATTTAAAATTTTAAAAAGTAAACTAAACAATAAACATAAAAATACTTATAACCAAAAAATATATAAATTACGTAAAATATTATATTCATTACATTTTTAGAAATATATAATTAAACACAAACCCACGTGTACACACGGGTCATCACCTAGTATTTTTTAAATTGTTGGTTGGATAATGCCTCTTTTTGCATTTTTATTACACAGGGATTATGTAATTTAAGTGTGGGGGAGGGTTTGTGAAACTGATGATATTTCTTGCATATTTTTGCATTTTTTAAGATTTTGATTCAAGCATTTAGATCATCTTGTTACATTTTAGAAAATTCATGCATCATTTGCATCTAGAAAAAAATCACAAAAATTTCGAAAATTATCTCTCGAAAACAGTGTCATTTGCATTCATATAGGTTGAGTCTATTTTCATAACATTCATGTAGGTTTGCTTGTGTTCAATGTGGGAACAATGATAGTTAAATCCATGTGAAATGATATTGTTTAGATGAAACCAATGCCCTTGTTCATAATTTTTTGATGCATTTGATGAGAACTTGAAATAAGTCTGAACCACTCTTGGAATTTATTATTTGAAACTCTTGTTGAAGTTGAAATTTGCCTAATTTGATCTTAACCTTTACTTAAGAAGAACCTTAATTTGAATATTGAAGTATCATGTCTTGTGCATTGCATTGTTGTCGTGGATACCAAATACATACTTGGATTTTCTTTTTTCTTTTGTCCACTCTTGTGAATCCAAGTAGTTTTCCCTACCATTAATCAAACCTTCTTTCAAGCCAAAAAAACTTTTGTGAGTGATTGTGAGGCCTCTTGTTTTGTGATTGATCTAAGTAAAAGGTGTTGGGTGAGGAACTACAAGGGATCCCTTCCATTGTAGAACTAGCTCACCCTCTTGAGCTATATAGGCTAGGTTGTTTTGGTAATTAAAGGGTTGGTTTGGGATTTTCGGTTCGGGCTTTTACAAGGAGAAAAAGGAAGCAAAGAGAGAGTGCAAAGCAATAAATCTTGGAAATGGTTTGGTGAAAAGAAAAATGGCGGCTCAAGCAAAATAAAGAAGAAAGTGTGCAATTCAAAGTCTAAGCAGCCAAAGGATGAGAAGCACTAGCATTGTCAAAGAAAAGAGCCAACAACAGAAAGGCACCAACCACGAAGAAGATGTTCAAAGAGAAGATGCCTCCTAAGCGCTTAAAAGAAGAAGAAAGAAGTGGAGATTTTTTTGGGTTTTAGAAGTTTAAAAATGGTAGCATAGGATGAAGTGATGGGTAGAAGTAAGAGTTTAGGATTCACTTATGGGGCTTGGGTAGATGGAAGTCTTCTCTTGTATGCATAAGTTTTTCTCTACCCATAGCATTTTACCATAGCTCAATCATCCTTTTCATGAGAGAACCCTTTAAACACTTAACCACTTCTAAAATATTAGGATCATATCTATCTCATAGCCTTGTCCTTGTAGCCACAGCCAAATGATGACACTTGCATTTTCATAAGCATGATTCAATTGTTTGAAATTTAATGAATGTTGAAAAGGTTGAGTGATTTGATAGCTTGTGTAGATTGATAACTTCATAATCATTTCCATATTGTGATAACTGTGTCTAGGTTCTTAGATTAGAGTTACATCAAGTGCTTCTTAGAATTGCAAACATGGACATTGGTTTGACCAAAAACAACATCATTTTCGGATATGAGTTCCCACTTTGAAATTTCACTCTCACCTTGTTCAATATGTTCGCTTGAGGGCAAGCAAAGAGCTAAGTGTGGGGGTGTTGATAGCATGCATCATTGCATAATGTTAGGTGCCATTTAGTATAGGATTTCATGCATTTCATCCATTCAAAGTCCAAAAGTGTCCCATTTGCATCATTTTCAAACACAGCATGCATTTAGATTAGAATTGCATATATGCATACATTGTGAGTGTATTTTCAGGACTTTGGAGAGCTAAGGAGACAGTAGGGAAAAGAATGGATCAGGTGAAGAAAGGAGGGTCAGCAAGAAGAAGCATATCAAGGCATTGGAGTCTCAGACCGATCAGTCATACGATGGAGAACACCTATGTTCTTCCATGGTACAGCCCATACTGGCAATCGTCATGCCCGTACAACAAGAACTTCCCACAGAGGCGACCCATACCGACGACAAATGTGTCGTACACGGTGCAGTCATATCGACCAGGGACGTCTGTACACCGATGAGCTTGCTTGGCACTTACAGCTTCAAGGCATACCGACAAGTTACACTGAGGAGGGCTGTCTGATGCTATGCACGGTGCGACCCATGATCGAGGACTTCAGCCGAGCCAAACTTCAGACCTTGCTTCTTCAGCACACACCAACCACACACACAGAGGAGAACCAGTCTTTGCCTTGCTCGGTATAGGCCATTTTTGGAGCGTTGACAAGAAGTTGACCATTGACTAGGTTATTTTTATGGTTGACCAGGTCAATTTTGGGACTTTAGTATAAATAGACCTGGTACAAAAACTTTTAAACGAGCCACATTTTTATCCTATCTTATCCATGTTTAAGCTTTTCATCAAAAACCTTCTCTTTTTGTAAGAACTTGCCTTAAGAGTGTTGATGTTGAGGTTTCATCTATTTAAGTATTTGTCTTTCCTTTTATCAGCTACTGTTGATCATGTTTAACCTTAATCTTGTGGGTTTAGACATGATTAGTGAGTAGTCCACTTTTAAGCTTGAGATTAAGGTAGATTAGGGTGGTTTAATGGTTGATTAAGGTGTAAGGTTGTTAGATCTTTGTTAATCTCTTCTTATGTGTTTGTGCTTAATGCTTAGTACCACCATTTATGAGAAATAGAACCTATGCGTCATGTGCTCGAATCTAAGGTGTTTGTTAGTATGCTTGAATGAAATTTATTGCTTGAAAATGGTGTTTTGATTGTCATGGCTCTT